TCCCTCATCATCGCTCGCTGAATTTTAGGATTCAGTCTAAAACAGGTAACTTTTGTGTATTTGTACTTCTGCATATGGGATTATGGGAGTAAAGCTGTTTCTTGCTTGTTGAAACAAGGAGCAAATGTCAAATTTACAAGGGCTGCTTTTTATTTGAATTTTATTTTTTCGTGTGTTTGTTTTGTTTGACTTTAAGCTTCAGTTATGAGAGCAACTTTAGAAGAAGAGACCCGGCCTTTGTTAGCTCCTTGCCTCATAATGAGTATTAAAATTAAATGACCACAGTCCAGTCTGGGTGATCTGGTTACCCGGCTTGGGTTACATTAGCACGGCTGCACCACCAGTCCCTCTGAGTGTTGGGGAGGGAACGAACATCAAACTCTAAATTCAACGTTAGCCTCTGGAAGCTTTAGATGTGTGAACGCTCGTGAAGCATTCACACTATCAAGATCTGTTTTTCTTCTGTACGTTTTTCTGCATCTTTCTCGTTCCACAATTTTTGTACAGTTTCAACCATTCATATCAAAATGTTCAGCTCGATCAGGAGAAGGGTGCCATGACTTTTGGTATTGGTGCAACTTTAGCTTTTTTAAAATATTTAGCCTTTTCTGACACTCTTTCCTCATGGAAAATGAATTGAGCTCATTTTACATCTTCAGATCTTTAGATCTGTTTACAACCTTTTACTGCTCCTTTCACATTTTGTTCTGCTTCAGCTTCTTTCAGCTTACTTCTGCAAATTATTTTTTTCCCCAGCTATTTTCTGCTAATTTCAGCTGTTTTGAGCTCCTTTCAGCTCCTTTCTGCAAGTTTCAGCCCTTTTTTACTATTGCAGCTACTATTTAGCAGTTTTATGCTAATTTTAGCTTTTTCAGCTATTTCCACATTTTTTGCACTCATTTAAACTTTTTTCAGCCTGATTCAGCAAAAAAAAAAGATCTCTCTATTTCCTTCTGACAATTTAAGCTTCTTTCTGTTTTTAGCTATTTTCAGCTATTTTTGAAAATTTCTGCTTTTACAGATACTTTCCACTTTTTTGTGCTAATTTTTGCTTCTTTCAGCCTAATTGGACAAACGTGTCCTTTCTACTTTCTTATGCTAACTGAAGCTTGCTCTACCTTATTAGCTACCTTATTAGCTAATTTTAGCTGTTTTCAGATAAATTCAAGTTTTACTCTGTAATTTCGGCTACTTTCAGCCTAATTAACTTATTTATTCTAATTTCAGCTTGTTATGCTCTGGGAGTGGTGGCGCAGAGATTAGAGAGGTGGGCCTGTGATCCGAAGATCGCCGGTTCACGCCCCGGCCCCGACGACATCAAAATTGTGGGTGGGGTAGGTGAAACACTCACACTTGCCCCCACCCTCATTCTCCCCACTCTGGGCCCATGAGCAAGGCCCTTAACCCCCACCATGTGCACCATGTGCTCCCTAAACAGGTCTCTCTTGAAAATGAGTTCTCGTTGCTCAATGAGACTAACCTAGATAAATAAAGGCTAAATGAAAAAAAAATAAAAATAAATGCTCCTTTCAGCTTTTTTCAGCTACTTTCAACTTTTTTTTTTTTGCTATGTCAGCTACTTTTTAGCTTTTTTGTGCTAAATGTATCTTTTTCAGCTAATCCCACCTTTTGTTTTTAGCTCATTCCACTCCCTTCTAGTAGTTTAAGCTTCTTTCTGACTTTTCAGCTACTTTTCAGCTATTTTTCACAATTTTCAGAATTTTTAGCTGATTTCCTAATTTTTGTGCTAATTTCTGCTTACTTAAACCTGATTCAGCAAATATGTGTCCTTTCTGCTTTCTTCTGCTAAGATAGGCTTGTACATCAATTTCAGCTACATTTCAGAATGTTTTTAGCTTATTTCAGCTGTTTTTCAGCAAGTTATTCTGCAGTAAGCATTTGCACTGCATTTTCGCAGGAAATGTAGTTACACTTTGCTTTAGCCTTTTACAAAAACAGGATACGTTAAATAAAATGCTTCATTCAGGAGTAAATAGAGAACTTCTAACCTTTTTGTTTATGGATCTTGTTTAAATTTCTCAAATGTTTTATTTTCTGGATAGTGTTCACATATGGCTTCATATTTTTCCTAAATATTATATAAAAATGTTAGTTTAAACCTTTAATGTGTTGCACATGCTCCATTATGAAGGAAATATGAGTTTGAGACGTGCAAATCAGGGCGTTCTGCTTTTTTTTTTTTTACATTTTACACAACGTTTGAATGTTTTCAGTTTTGTTGTATAAATATATATTTTCAAGAGATTTGGAGCAGAACAATTGCCTTATTTAAATGTATTAATAAAAAGGTTCCGAAACATTTTGAATCAGAATCAAACAAAAGTGTACAGCTTTGAAAATTGATCTTTGCATATTTATAACAATTACAGCTAAATCAACTGTGTAAGGAAAACAAAAAGCCGCAGTGTAATAAATGCATTATTGTTTGTTTCTGGTTATTTTTGTTGTTTCTCATGTCAGACGTGCGCCATAGACGTCTAATAGTAGAAGTGCACTAATGTTTGTATGACTCGGTGCCTTAGGCAGTGATTATTTTCAAGTTTTGTGCTTATCTTTTAGTTTTTTTACACATTTATTCATTTGTCTGACTTTCCAGCTGTTTTTCTGCTTGCTTCGCATGACTGAATACCACAGAGTATTTACAGCAATATGGGATGTGCACATTAACGCAAGCACAGAGTCACCGAGAACGCATTTAGGACTGCTTCTGTCACACAGCAGGAAAAAAAAAACAAATTGTACCAAGCTTCAATATGAACAGAAAGAACAACCATCCTGCCGCCGTTTATCACTGAAGACCAAAACTCATCCCCTGCTCGCATGAACACGCCCACAAAGGTAAAAAAAAAAAAAGAGCCATGTCTCTGCACAGGAAGGTCAAAAAGATGAGATTAGGATGGAAAATGGTGATTGTAAATGGGCAGAAAATAGAAGAAGAAAAAAGGTTAAAGACCCCAACAGAGAAGTATCTAATCTGTCTAAATATGGACTTATTCGCAGAACCACGCTCTGGTCAGAAAAAGAGTTAACATCTTTAGCGAGCCTGTACCATTTACCGTACTTGCCGCCGTACACGTCGCATCAGTCCAAATATGTCTAATAAAACAGAATAAAACATAAATATGTTGCTTCGCCGTATAAGTCGCAGACATGCTAATTCATGCAAAAACATGTGACTTATATGGCGAAAAATACGGTAGGTTTCAACAACAATGGTGCAAGAAATCAAACATCCTGTTCATAGCTTCTGCAATCACGTCTAAAATCTGTTTTCAGTGATGATCTGTGGTGTCACTTGCTCTTATTCACAAGTTTCCCGTCCAGGTGCTCAGGGTTGCACTCCTGCGAGGACACATCTGCCCCAGAGCTCCACGGACGACGCAGCAAATGAGCACTTGCTGTCACCCCGCGACGCGTCCTCTTGATGCACAGCCGAGCCGACACGTTTTAATATCCTCGTTGCCGGATCTGGTGGCTGCTTGTGCGTGTTCTCATCACAGCGCAGATATATACTGCAGTTGTGATCTTAAATGTATTTGATCCTTTGAGAGGACGATGATCAGTTTTTCACATAAGAGAAAGAGATGAACAATTCATCTGGCTGCAGTGATTGAAATTAGAACTTCCCGCCACCCACTTCTGGTAATATTCAGTAAATTGTTAAAGTATCTGAGTGGATACATAATGCAAACATAAAAAGAAGATTTCTACATCTGCCATCTAAAAAATAGAGATATTATAAAGACTGTAAGTCATCACTAGACCTTTGCAGATTTCTGTTTTGGAATATTTAATTGTCTCCATTAAAATTAGACATAAAATATTTTGGAATCACGCTGCTCTGGTTTTGTTACTTCTCCAGGAATCGTACACACAAGAGGTCAAACTGCTCTCTTTGACCTTTCCTCTGAAGCCTTGACCCAACCTTTATTCACAGCTCTTTTGTAATTCTAATCTTTTTTGACACTAAAGACTGAAAAATAAAACACTTAATGTCTAAAAGTGATTAGTTTATCTGTATTCTCCTCTTTCTGGACATCTTAGCCCTTAAAACGTCACATAAAGTTGAGATGTGCCTTTAAATGCATTTTTTTCTTCTTCTGCTGATGTCTTGGGATGGACTGTCAGGGGCGGCGCATGCGCAGTGGGCAGCAGGAGGCTGTTAGCGAATCTGCGTTAAGCTAACCAGAGTTACATTAAAAAAAAAAAACGAGCGGAAGCCCTTTAATTATTTCAGTATAAAGCGTGATTATTTTTAGCAATTTTTTTTTTTTTTTACTGTGTCGGAGTAAATCAAGAAATATCTATGAACCACATTCAGTTAAGTGCAGCTGCATAAATTTAAGTTTCAATTCATGTTAATAGCATCAGGCTATGTTAGCAAAAAATAAGCTAAAATGGTGTTACCTGAAAAGGAGCTCGTTATTTAATTTAAAAAATCTATAAGACGTAAAATATTTGCTACAGCTTATATTAAAGTGTAACTTAAGAAATGTGAAGCTAATTTAGGGAAATTTAATAAACTAGCTTTCTGTTTACATAGCATTGGACTACGATGGGAAATGGGTTAATTTTTCCCTGAATATTGTTTTCATGATGTTTCACAAAACGTCTTTGTCTTTATGCCCTTCAGTTCGATTGACAAATGCATTTCCTTAAAAAGAAAAAAAGAAAAAAAAATACGTAAAACCGTGTGTTTTATTTTGTATTGACCTCCCGGAAACGATTTTTTTGCGGCTGTAAGTGGTAGTTAAACGAAGACCCCCCTACGCGGAAAACTGTGGTAACTGTGGCGTACAGCTGCAGAGAGACGCGAGGAAAACAACGAGAAATGGAGGGACTGGACCGGACTGGAAACAAACAGCACATCTTATAAAAAAACAAAAAAAAAACACCCGAGATGTTTCGCGCAGAGAACCGTCTTCGAGGCGCTCTGTAGAGATAATCAGGCGGGAACAGCTCGAACGGTGGACGGCGGGGATCGATCATGGGGAACGAGGCGAGCCTGGAGGGAGGCGAGCTCGGGCCGGCGCCTGGGCTCCCGGAGGGGCTGGCACCCGACGGGAAGGGGGGGTTCGTGCGGGTCTCGGACGGGACTCCGGTGAACCTGAGCGAGCTGAGCGAGGAGGAGAGGAGGCGGCTGTCCGCGGCGGTGTCAAGGGCGCAGGGCAGGCAGCCCGGAGCTCCAGCACGAAGGCAGGCAACTCATTTATACCTCCACTATGGATGGATGGGTGGATGGATGGGGGCAGTGGATGTGTGTGGTAATGTGTGCAGCATCATTTAGAAGGAACATAAGTAGGCGGAAAGCTCGTTCACGCCCATTATCAGTCCTTACAAACCACCATTAACCCCGTTCTTAGAGCTAATTTAACATCCACTGAGCTGGCTGAGAATTTGTTAAAAAAAAAAAAAGATTCAGATTGCATCTTCTCACTCAAACGCCTCAGATCCGATCAGTGTGAAATCACCGAGGAGCCTTAGATAAGAGACACACCTCCACTGGTCCCTATTTGTGAGAAAACTGTCGAAATGCCTGCTGGGTAGGAAAACCTGTCGTGCTCGGTGTTTTTCCTCCATTTCAACGAGGCCTAAACACCGACCTAAACAAACATATCGCCATTACTGTATGATTGGACACTTTATTGCTTCTGAGAGGATGAATGTGCATTTAAATCTGATCATTTCTATTTTATCCTCTCACCACCAGGGCAGAGGAAATGTGCCTTCCAGCTAATTGGCTCCAACTGGAGGGAAGAACTGTTATTTATATCTGAGCTTTAGAGGGGGGGGGGGGGGGGGGGTGCATCAATATTAATGTAACTATAAATAGAGCAGAGGTGTTTATGCTCTTTAAATTTTGCCTCCTGCTCTGATGTCAGTGTTTTTATCCCACAGAGTCCTGTCGCTGTCCGTGGTGCTGAAACCTGCTGCAGAGGCATCACTCTGTTTGCTAGGCTGCTCCCACCCCCCACCCCACTTCCAGCCATGTATTACTCATGCTCACTATAAAAATAATAATCAGATGCTATATTCATTAAACTTTATTGCCCGGGAATGTAATTTAATCAGGGACGCTGAAACACCAGCAACACATCTGTGTGCTGTATCTACACGCATCATCATACAATAACAAACAGCCAGTACATTAGCATCTCTCCGAGCGTCCATTTGTGCAGGTTGTGCATTGAGCTTCTCACTCTAGACCCGACGTGTAGCCGAGCGTTTCTCACTCCGTCTCAGCTGATCTGCATCCCCACGTCACTCACCAGTAGTCATGTTTCTGTCAGCTTTAGCCCAAGGCTGCCAGCTATCCATCTTGATGTGACGAGCAGGCCTAAAAGAGAGCGCTGTGGCCTTCTTTCTATTTGGGGCAATTGAATATTCAATGTAAAAGGCAACAGTATTGTTTAATTCAAGGGCCTAGTGTTCCTTGGAGACATGCATGACAGAGTTTTAAACATAGATCAACTTGGGTAAAAGTGCAATCGTAATAATATCGCAAAAACTTGCATGATCTGTTCAGTTTCCGATTATTTGTTGAGGATACCCCTTAGCTACTACCACACCAAATTTTAGCTAAGTATTTGTATAGTTGTACGAGTTAAAGCCATTTGTGTGTTTGCTAATTTTGATTAACTATGGTAGCCATCTTGAATAGGATTGACTCTAGAAGTGAATCAGTGGTAGGTGCCCATCTAGTAATTACTTTCTGAAAAGTTCATTAAAATCTGTTCAGTGGTTCACAAGATATTTTACTAACAGATAAAGGGGTTACCAGTTTTTAACAAATATATACAATCTCTGAGAGCTTGAAGTATGTTTTGGAGATTACTCTCAGATCTGCTGCGATGGCCATCTTGACTTGCACTGACTCCAGAAGTTAATCACTAGTCGATGTACATTTGGTGATTAATTTCTGAGGGTTTTATTAAACTCTGTTTTTGGTTCTTGAGATATTTTGATGGCACGAAAGACACACAGACACAAATAATTACTTTATTGCCTGTTGCCAGGAAAGTTGGGTGATACTGAGATAAACAAGTTTCTATAACATTGTAGACATTTAATAAAATGCACGATAATGGTTCAACTTAAACTACATTTTGTTACTGTTGTGTAACATATTTTTATGTATATCTTATGCATTTTAATTTCTAATATAAAGTGTTGTTTCTTTCTCTCAAGGTGATTCAGCAGGACCAGTCGTGACAAATGAATTATAGAATCTTGTCAGGGTTGCACCTTTTTAAAATGATACATTTATCTGATTTGTCCACAAGCTCATTTTCAGCACCTAGAATATGTTTAAATTCCCTTTTACAAATACAGTGTTGAACAAATCAACAGAAGCAGGTTTCAGAATATGTCCAACATCAAAGTGTGATGCACAGTTTATGTGTTATTTTTATTTTGGAACAGCTGAGACTTGGTGTGGACTTGTTCAGTGAGATTCTAATCTGGTGCCAAATAAAACACATATGGACGTAACAAAAACTGTTTTCTGTGTCTCTGTTCCAGACCGTCAGAATCTGATGCTCAGCAACATTACCAGCAGGCAGGGGCCTCCAGGGGCCCAGCGGGCTTGAGTAAAAGCAGAACTGTTGACGCCTTCAGCCAGGGTCCGCCTGGCAAGCCCACACCGGGCCGGAGCCCCTCATCCCTCAGCCTCTTTGAATCCAGATTCCGGCAAGAACCAAAGGGGCCTGAGACCAAGTCAACAGGCATGTTTGGCTCCAGCTTTCTCAGTGGGGCCAATCCCCTCAGTGCTATGACTTCCTCCATATCGTCCATGGGCGATGCTGTCAACATCCCTAAGTTTGGCCTGTTCGGGGACGACGACGAGGGAGACTCAGCAAAAACTGAGTCCAGACAGGGAGGGAAACCACCAGGGAAAGGCCCTCAGCAGGCACCAGGTCAAAAAGGACCACAGCAGGGAGGACCACAAAAACAACATCAGGGCCCTCCTGGGCAGGGACCACAACCAGGGCAAGGACCCCCTGGCCAGGGATCTAGACAAGGTCAGGGTCCACCAGGTCAAGGACCTAAATCAGGCCAAGGACCTCCTGGTCAGGGACCAAGGCAGGGTCCAGTATCTAAATCAGGTCAAGCACCTCCAGGACAAGGCCCTTCTGGTCCCAAACAAGGTCAAGGACCCAAATTGGATCACGGTCCTCCTGGTCAAGGACACTCTGGACAGTCCCCTAGGCAAAGTCAAGGACCAGCAGGACAGCAGGCACCCAAACCAGGCCAGGGCGGACCTCCTCAACAAAAGAGTGGTCCTCCCCAACAAGGACCTGCACAACCTGCATCCAAAGGACAACAAGGCCCAGGGCCCCATTATGGGGAGCCAACGAAGGTTGCTGGTCCTCCTGGTCAACAGGGACCTAAAAAACCAGCAGGTGGACTCTGTCCATTGTGCAAAACCACCCAGCTGAACACTGGATCTAAGGACCCACCAAATTACAACAACTGCACCGAGTGCAAGAACCAGGTCTGCAGCTTGTGTGGGTTCAGCCCCCCAGACTCAGCGGTAAGACAGTACCTAGTTTCTGTTGGTCTTTCTGTGTTCTTCTTGCATGTCTGTCTGTCTGTCTCACCATCATATATCATATGGGTAAATAAAAATACCTGGACGTTTGCACTTATTTACTTCAACGTATTTTTGAGTGTGAAAATTTTCAATCATGGCACTGTGCAGCACTATGCATTGGAAAATTAAGATCCTAAAAATCTAAACTGGAAACACATAAAAAAATATCTAAAAACACCTACAGCTTTAAAAATAAATGAATAAAAAAAGCTCGTAGCTGAATCAATGGCAAGTCTGTTAACAACATATTGCCATTCCCCGAGTCTGGCAGGGGGGGTGCATCTCAGAAGAGCAGCACACAGGATTTGAGAAACGGAGGGACCATATGGACCTGGGGAATGTGGATCAAGGTGACTCATATCATGGCCACAGGAAGACACTGTGCCAGCATGTGAGGACACAGTGTCACATGAACTGTAAAGGCTGGGGGGGGTCATGGGTAAACACCACAGACTAAATAAAACCTGCTTGCTTCTGGCCATTTTCTTCCCCTCTCTTTAGGGATCAATTTATTTACTTTTAAATAAATATACATGTAGGTCATAAGCACACGCACATACATTTCGCTTTAAACTAGATGGTGATCAAACTGTAAACAATGGTGTGTGTGTGTGTGTGTGTGTGTGGAGGGGGGGGGTCAACAGCATGTGTTGCACACAGTGGAAACCACAGACATGTTCAAACACTAAACAAAGAGTTCGGTGTTGTCAGGGGGTGTAGTGTGAGGAAAACAAACGAAGCGAAAGCAGCCATTTATCATCAACATATACAGTTCATATACTGTAATTAAACAAACATCTATATAACAATAGTGGATTTCTTTGAAATAGTTATTACACGACTGAAAGAAAATTGTATTATGCTTGCTAGTGAATATACAACCCCAGTTCCAACAAAGTTGTCTAAAACATAGAAGGAAAAAAAAATACAATGACATAGCCTTGTTTTGTTCACAGTATGAAATGTTTAAACTAAGAAATTGTACAATTTCTAGGAAAAACCAAGTACAATCATTGTATTTTTTAATTTAATGTTACACAAGAATTCCACTTGTTCAGAATTGGGGCTGTATAATATTGAGAACTGCCTTCGATATTTAAGTGATTGTTTTGTTCACAGGGTAAGGAGTGGCTGTGTTTAAACTGTCAGATGCAGCGAGCAATGGGAGGGATGGATCCTCCTGGTGTGTCAAAGCCCAAGCAAGGCTCAGCTCCACCCTCGCCTCAGAGACAGCCGGCTGGCAAGCCTGAAAAGCTGCTGATAAAGCAGCAAAGCACCACTGACCAAGGGTTGACACCACCGACAACACCGAGGCAGAAATCCCCAGGTCCTTCCTCTCCGGGACCTCTTTCCCCAGGCTCATCAACTGCAGGGTCCCCAAAAATTGACCCCAAGACAGGTCGCCCTATTCAGCAGAAGTCTAGTCCCCAGGTGTCCCCGGCTAAAGCCAAACAGGAGTCTAGCTTCTTCGGGGGCTTAGGGGGTATCAGTCTAGGAGGCTTCACAGATGCAGCTAAGCCTTCTGCAGCTACTGCACAAGCTGCCGAGTCTGTTACAGGAAAACTGTTCAGTGGTTTTGGTGGGTTGATGGAGTCGTCAAAACCTCCGGCACAGGCTGCTCCAAAACAAGAGGAGTCAGTGGCTGGGAAGTTGTTTGGAGGTCTGGGAGGGTTGACGGAGTCCGCTTCCGCTAAACCACCTGCTGCTGCATCTCAAATGTTCAGCTTCGGCTCGCTCCTGAGTTCTGCCACAAACCTCGTCTCTGGAGATGAGGTTAAGGCACCGGAGTCTCCGCCTGGATCACCAGACTCCGGACCAGGTTCTCCTCCAGACTCTGGCCCCGGTTCACCACCTGACTCTCCATTCTCTGCCCCTGGGTCCCCTCCGGATTCGGACTTTGTTCCTGACACCCCACCTGCTAACTCCAAGAAACCCCCCAAACCCAGTTCTGTGGAGCAGGAAGAGAAGCCCCCAGCAGCTGAATCAGCTCAGCCTCCAGCTCCAAAAGTGATAAGAACCTGTCCTCTATGTACCGTGGAACTGAACGTCGGATCAGCAGACACGCCTAACTACAACTTGTGCACCGAGTGCAAGAAGGACGTGTGCAATCTTTGTGGATTCAATCCTAATCCTCATTTAGGAGAGGTAAGGATCCTTGCTTCATGCCGATCTTTTGAATCCTAACTGCTTCCTGTGACATAAACACTCTGCTCATTCCAGTAATTTATGCCTCTTGCACACAAATAGATCACTCTCTTGATGTTTCAATAAAATGGGTCACTGTAGATAGATTCAGAAGATTTTAGCTTTGCCTCAGTAGCATCCAGCCACAAACTTTAAATAGGAATGCCACGTGATTAGCTGCACTAATCACATTAGTTTACCTCCAAAAATCTCCGTAAAGACACACATTTGACCTCTGGCTTAATTGAGGTGGTCGATTAAGATGTATTTTAAACGTGCTTTCCAGATCATTTTTTAGATGAGGAGGCAGGAGATGTAAAGCTATATGTGGTTGTTTAAAAGGAAGTTGCAGGCTCAGACTTATTTAAACAAGTTACTCTTGATTTTGAACCTGAATACTGTGTGTCCATCATCTACAGTATGTGCAAGAGTTTGGATGACTATGTAGCTGCAGAGTTATACTTCACAACTTTGTATGATATTACCTTTTTATTGGGTAGTTTTATTCATCTTTGTATGTTGTTGTGCCTTTGAGAGGGTGTTCATCCATAATGGAAACAATTATCTTCCACTGTGAGGAGACTACAGTGTGTTGTTTCATGTCCAAGCACCATATTTTGGCTTAAACAGCGCAGATGGTAATTTCTAATGCACGGGTGTCCAATCTTGGTCCTGGAGAGCCACTATCCTGCATGTTTTAGATGTTTCTCTGCTCCAGCACAACTGATTTGAATCAAAGGGTGATTAACAGGCTTCTGCAGAATATGAAGAGGTAACTCAGTCATTGAATCAGGTGCGTTAGAGCAGGGAAATGGGTAAAATATGCTGAATAGTTGCCCTTGAGGACCATGATTGGACACCAGTTTATCATCAGTGAATGGGCACAAGTATTTTGACTATACAACTGAATACTTGTTTATACCAACATCACATGTTCATTGAAAATACTTATACTGAACAAACATGTAAACAGAACACTTGTTTTTGCTCCCATTTTTCAGGAGCTGATTTCAAAGATCGAAGACTTTTTCTTTGAACACAAAAGGCCTTTATTTTTTCTTAAATATTGTTCACAAGTTTGTGTACATCTACTAGTGAGCATGTCTCCTTTGCTGAGATAATCCATCCACCTCACAGGTGTGGCAGATCAAGATGCTGATTAGACGGCATGATTATTGTACAGGTGTGCCTTAGGCTGACCACAATAAAAGGCCACTTTAAAATGTGCAGTTTTATCACACAGCACAACGCCACAGATGTTGCAAGTTTTAAAGGAGCATGCAATTGGCATGCTGATTGCAGGAATATCCACCAGAGCTGTTGCCCGTGAATTGAATGTTCATTTCTCTACCATGAGCCCTCTTCAAAGCCGTTTCAAAGAATTTGGCAGAACAATCAAGCAGCCTCACAATCGCAGACCACCTGTAACCACACCTGCCCAGGACCCCCACATCCAGCATCTTCACCTCCAAGATTGCCTGAGACCATCAACCAGGACAGCTTCTGCAAGTCGATTCACATAACAAAATAAGTTCTGCATAAACCGTCTGAAACAGTCTCAGGGAAGCTCATCTGTATGCTCGTCATCCTCATCGGGGTCTCCACCTGACAGCAGTTTGTCATCGTAACCAAATCGAGGGGGCAAATGCTCACATTCGATGGCATATGGCACGTTGGAGAGGTGTTCTCTTCACGGATGAATCCTGGTTTTAACTGTACAAGGCAGATGGCTGACAGTGTGTATGGCGCTACATAAATTAGCAGTTTGCCGATGTGAACATTGTGACTCGAGTGGCCCATGAAGGTGGTGGGGTTATGGTATGGGCAGCCGTATGTTATGGACAACAAACGGGCTGGTGAGTTTACACGTGGTCTGCAGCTGTGAGGCTGGTTGGATGTACTGCCAAATTCTCTGAACATGGACAATCCTGCAGCTACTGAGCCAATTGTACACTCCTTTAAAACGTGCAACATCTGTGGCATTGAGATTTGTGATAAAACTACACATTTTAGAGTGGCCTTTTATTGTGGTCAGCCTAAGGTACACCTGCGCAATAATCAGCATCTTAATTTGCCATACCTGTGAGGTGATGGATTATCTCAGCAAAGGAGAAGCGCTCACTAACACAGATTTGTGAAAAGTATTTGAGAGGAAAAGGCCTTTTGTGTATGTAGATAAAGTCTTTAATCTTTGAATTCAGTTCATGAAAACTGGAGGCAAAAACAGGTGTTGCATTTATATTTTTGTAAGGTATATGTGATTTTCAAAAGGTATGTTTGGTTTAATGCTATTAAAATGGACCAATGTTGTTTCTTATCCAGCTTCTATTTTCTCAGCTGGTGGCTTGTCTTTACTAATCGGTTGGTTATTTTTGTTTCCCTGTGGAACCCCATGTAACAGGGAGTGGAACTGAATTTCAAGATTGAATAAAATCCTCTTCAGTGATTGTTCTAATTGCAAATGTTTGCCACAATGCTAAGTAGATGTACTTAATTGTGGGCAAGCACAAAGAACAAAGTAATTACAAAGGAGCGATGGACATCCAATTGACAAATTTATGAGTAGGAATTGATGACATATAGGCAAAACTTGTCAGTGTTTTGTGGGATGGAATAGAACAATGATTTCAGTAAAAAAGATGAATTTGAAAAAGAAAATGAACAAAAAAAACGGTGTGGTGGTGAATATTCTGCACACAGCACCTTGGTTGAGTCATCTTACCCCCAGCGTAGCGTGTCTCTCGTCTTTGTCACTCGCAGTCATCGTGTCGGTTGTCGGCAAAGGTCCATTCGCTGACGCATGTGAGGCTGGGTGTGTATTTGCAGGGTGCTTGACTCAACAGAACGTTTTTATTTGTCGAGCTGTAGGTTCATGGAGAACGACGTGACTGAGCAAGCTGACGTGAGCACGCCTTCTTTAGGTGTGTGACTGTGGGTCTTTTTATGTTTGGGGAATCTTTTGCCTGAAATATCGATGGGTATGAGTGTGTGCGTTTGTGTGTGTAGGCATCATCTCTGCTTCTTAAATGGATTTAAAGGACAAAAGGACATTTGGCTTCTCAATAGAGGCTTGATCCTGGACTGTTGACTTTTTGCTAAATCCCCATCAAGTTGTGAAACTACATTTTGTTCTGTTTATATTTTTTGTAACAATTTAACTGAATCTTTTTTTAACAGTTTCTACCTTTTCCTTACTGACAATACAAAGAACTAGTACCTTTTTTGTTTTGGCAGTTTATATCCTTTCAAATAGTTTTTTTCTCCGTCAGATCACCGCTCGACTCCTATGTTTTTTTGCCTTTTCGTACAGACGCTCTCTTTGATGTAGAAGTCTGTAAAAGTATGCTTGGTGCAGCTCAGCGATGTTCCTGTAGCTCAGACTTCATGTCAACTTGGCCTTTTCAGTAATGAGAGTGTGCTTCTTGGAAAAAGTCTTACATAAGATGGGAGAGGTACCGCTACGCTAACGAGCACAAATCAAGAGAATTGGAGCGGTTCATCTTGTAGCACCAACACCAATGGAATATACAGCTATATTTACCAACTCCCCCAGAATACTTTGGAAAAATCAATCTGAGAGTCACAGCCTGAAAACTGGATTTTCATTAAGTGCTATTTGATGGTTACCTTTTGCCAAGTATGATTACGGAGTTAGCATTCATTACTTGCTGACATGGTACTCACCAGACTGTTACCATTTTTCTCAGAATGCGTCCCATCAGTTAATTTGGCCACTTCAATGTTTCTACAGTTTGATGGATTTACTTTATTATTTGAACCTTAACATTATCTTTGATTTTTCTTTCATTGCAATCTTATTTTACCAAAGACATAGGGTGTCTAACTCAAATACCACTCTTGGAATAAACTAGTTGGTTGAATGATAAATAAATAAACATTTCTCCGAACTTAGGTCGTTTAAACAGCTATTGGTGTGTTCAATGTATAGTCAAAGGACAGCATTTTAACGTTCCAAGTAAAAAAACAACAACACATTTTTATGCTATTATTAAATATTGTTGAGACAATATCAGTTGCTATTCTTCATAGCTGTACTCAAAACCTTCTTCACGTAGCAGTTGTGGGCCTTTAGGAAACAGGGGAATCAATATAATTATCCAAAATATATTTTTGGGTTGCAGATTGAATCTGGGATTTACTGGAATCCTTTTGATTATTGGTATTGTTCACATAGATTTTACAGTATCTATAAATATCTTTGACATATTGTGCAGCCATACATGTAATTATCCCTTAATAAACTCCCTAAACACCAGCACGATAAGTTTAAGTTGTTGGACAAACAGCTAAAACAATAAACTTTTTGTCTATATGGAATAAGCTTCCTGATCTTAAATAATAAACTCTATAAACCTATACCGGAACAATAAAAAAGAAAATACATTGCTAATTTATTATAATCTTGCTGCTTTTGTTTTGAAGTGATTTATCATGGTTTGCACTTGTTGCTAACACTTCCTTGACCTATGCCATCCAAATATGCAGTGATGCTTGCTCATCCCTAAAGAGGTTACTATAGTATATATCATGACTTTAGTAACTAGCTGTAAGCAAATGTATAGGAATACAAATATCTTGCACAGTTCATTAGCGCTCATGCTAACTTGCGTGATGATTCACATCCTTCTTCCTCATTGGTATTCCACTATCATTCCCACACTACTTCTTATTCCCTCCTTAGTTTGCACTGGTGATACAATCTGGTCATACCTGCACTCATACTCATGCAGAGACTTTCGTATCACTAAATTTAGTGACGTGCGCTGAGCATTGTGTGTTTGGGCTGACCTCTTCACATATATTTCATCACAGCTCGCTCATTAAATAAACGTGTTGCTTATTCTACTTTGTATGTGAACCTGAAACATACAAAAATAGTCACAGCCACAAAAGAG